CTCTTCGTCCTTTAGGTAATTTAGAAGTTTGTAACCATTTCAAGGCTGAATGATCAGTTACAAGTACAAAAGGTTTCATACCTAAATAATGTTGGAAGTGTCTGATAGCCCACACAACTGCCAAACATTCTTGATCAGTTATGGCATAATTCTTTTCAGCTGAATTTAAACTTCGACTTGCATAAGTAATGATATGTTCCTTTCTATCCAATTGTTCTTGTGAAAGGACAGCTCCTAGACCTATTTCTGATGCATCTGTATAAATAATAAATGGTCTATTACTAGGTTAACAGGCTCTGTTAATGTCCGGAGCGGGGACAGCGGGGATCACGATTTTTTGGTAAATTCCATCCAATGACCAGTATTTAAAATTAGTTGCACAAGTGTAAATATTTGTTTAAATATGCAAATACAATAAAAAAACATACACCTATTGAATATATCTGCATTAAAGATTTCAAATAAAACTTGCACAATAATTGGTGTGTATGTCATAATTTTAGAGACATTTACATACGTGCAGGGATTTTTTTTTATTTGAATTTTATGACATTATCCTGAAAAGTTCAGCCCACATTATGATAATTCTGCCTAAGATTTTCGGAAAAACGGGTTTCAGAAAAAATGTACTGTAGTATTTCATAACACTTTTGTTATTCATGATAATTTATGTATTTAAATAAAATTTAATTTAAAAAAACAAATATATTAATTAAAATTAGTTTTTTTTGTTATACATTTTTATATATGCTATCGTTAAAATGATTCAAATAAAGGTGCAGAAAATTCAATTAATGATTTAAACAAAAAGGAACCTTGCTTTCTCAATTAATGAGATGATAAACGCCCAGAAAATGATGTTTCGAATAAAGAGATTTGTGACAATATTTGTGATATACTATTTAAATTTATCTCCATCATTAAGTATTTGGTATAGTAGTTGAACTCGTCTTGAATCATTCAAATTAAGTACATAATGTTAACTATTTGATAATACATGTATTATAATCAAACATATAAGCCTTAATCTAGAATTGGTAAGAAATGCTATTTTTAAAGAGAAATATGGATTTATTAGATACAATATTCCTAAAAGTCAAATAATAAATTAGAATTATTACTTTCCTTATTATTAACTTGAATAAATCCAAATAAAATCATTCGAATTATATGATTCAAGTACTATATATATGATTTGAGTATTTTACGAGTATAACTCGTGAATTACGAGTTGATGCGAGTCGCGACCCTCTATAAATTGCGAAAAATTGTATAACGCGTATATAAAACACGTAAAGTATATCTGGTTTTTAGAATAAGCGTGAAAAAAGATAGTCTACAAAATTTTCTGAATTAAATAAATCGTTAATTTTTTTTTGAATAAAAGATTAATAACGATGGGTTATTCAAATAATGCAATGAGTGCAATGCTTAGAAAACGCAAAAGTAGAGAGAATGAGACTCCTGATAAACGTGAAAACCGCTGTACTCGTGATCGTAAAATAAAATTAAAAAAAAGGCATCAGAAACTGCAGAACAACGTAGAACACGCTTGAATAGAGAAAATGAACAAAAGCGTCAAAAGAGATTGTGTAAAAAACGTACTTTAGAAACTGCTGATGAACATCTTAATCGTCAAGAACAAGAAAAGATTATGCAAAGGTTTATATTTGTCAATTCCCTTTATTCCTATTAAATAAAATTGATTTGAATAAATTGATTTAAAAAAGAAATGATAATAGAAACCCTTCAGACCCAATTAGAACTGGATTGCTTTCCGAATTTGATCATGAGCTTCTACAGAAATTCTAAATCAAAATAAGTAAATTTGAGCAAACCCTTTGTCCCACATGTAATGAGCATTTTCCATCAATTAAACTAGTTAAAGGAGAATGCCATCATTGCTATTGTGAAAAAACTATTCCAAAAAAATTTTCTGTAGAAAATAATATGGATTCAGGAGAGATACCTGAGGAATTGCAAAATCTTACTGAAATTGAAGAAATGTTAATTGCACAAATATTTCCTGTAATTTCAGTGTATTGTCTTCGCGGGGGACAGTATGCATACAGAGGAAATGTTATTAACTTTTCTCAGGATGTACACGAGTTTGTAACACAACTTCCTCGTCATCCGTCATCCTTGGATGTACTTATTGTACGTCGTCAGTCCACCAGTGCATTTGAGATTTTAATGTTCATTGTGTGAAAGTTGCCCGAGCACTTCTCTGGTTAAAAGAGAACAATCGTTATTATGCTAACATTAATATTGACAATGAAGTGCTGCAATCCTTACCTGACGATAGTCCTATTGACGACTGTCTTCCACGACTTCAAAGAACAGAAGATGAAGAATTAGATGATGATGAAAATGAAACAGAAGATATAATCACATGTAACTTTATTACCGCTTCTTTTCCAACTTATCGTGAGGATAAAGCAATCAACAATACTCTTGCTCGAATGCAAGGTGAAACTATTCCTATTGCATGGCCAAATATTGATGCAAATCCTATTAATGAATTTCATACTCCCGGATATATTACACGTGCTTTTCCAGCTTTATATCCAACTGGAAAAGCCAACCTTCGTGCAGAACGTATAAGAGATGTCAAGCCTGCTGAATATTTTCAACATATGCTTAAATATAAAGATGGCAGATTTGTACGCCATACCCACTAGCGATATTTTGCATTGAACTCATAAATGCGATGGAGGGCAATATAGGAAGCAAGAGTCTACGTTAAGCAAAGTTTGAATGACAATCAGCTTACTGTTAAAGAAGTTCAAGAGATGGTTAAAGGTAATAATCACTTAGCTTAACAAGTTATATGATTTGGTGAAGGTCTGCGTGAAACCCGACAGTTTTGGATTAAAAGACGAGTTGAATTGTCAAATATGATCAAACAATTAGGATCAAAGGGGATGGTATTTTTTACATTCAGTGCCGCAGATTTACATTGGTCAGAACTCCACAAACTTATGCTATATGGTGAAAATCAAATAGAAGGAGAATCAGAGCAAGATGCAGCTAAGCGTAGGTGTCAAAACCTGATTGACAATCCTCACATCGCCGCATGGTTCTTTGAGAATCGCTTTAAATCTTTTTTGGAAGATGTGCTAATTCCTAAATGGAACCTAGAAGATTGGTGGTATAGGTTTGAGTGGCAGTATCGCAGTAGTGTTCACATACACGGTATCGGAATGCGTAAAGATGCACCAGTGATCGATTGGGAAAAAATGAAAGAAGATAATGAAATGATGATTAAAGTAGTGGAATATTTAAATTCCTTAATTACGACAATTAATCCAGAAGTTGATGCACCTGTATCTGATCGGCATTTCTGTTAGAAGCATAATGACGAGTTATGCGATGACCTGCAGGATTATATTGAGTTAGTGAATAAATTACAGCGTCATACGAGATGTAGTCCTTCATACTGCCTTCGTACCAATCGTGAGGGTCAACAATCTTGTAGATTTGGATATCCAAAAGACATTGTAGAACAAACCTGCATACGTGATGATGAT